CAACTGAGAAGTCGACTCATTTCTCCATAAGACTGAATGGTAATGGAGCTGCCCCCTGCTGGCCGTTAGAGAGATAAAGGTTTAAGACACTTCTGTATTGGCTTCACTTCACAGACCCAGACTGAGCCGACTCACAGTGTAGTAGTTGGAGAGTCTAGCGGGCGTCTTCTGGCTGGAGGTGGCAGCGACGCCCTTCTCCTTGACGGTGATGCGAACCGGGTTCCTGAGGCCGGCCCTCACCAGCTTCTCCAGCTCCTGCGTCTGAGTGGCCGAAAACAAGCCCGTACGCCTCTGTTTAGGCAGGTAGCCCAGGATGGTATTCAGACTGGATACACAAACACAGACACACAGACACACAGACTCTGTCAGCAGCCCAAAGACCTAAAACACAATTTAAATACACGTACGTCTAATTAAAGTTTCTTTTTTTTAAATTTTTTTTTTTTTAAAGGAGCTAATTTCTTACCTGGCTTCAAAACCCATGTCGAGCAGTCTGTCGGCCTCGTCCAGGACCAGAACATCGAGACTCTTGACTGAGCTGGCCAAGTCCAAACCGTCTGACTTCCTCCTGAACATATCCTCCAAACGGCCCGGTGTCGCAATCACGATGTTCGCTCTGAAACCATCAGGAGAAACACTCATTACTGTGTGTCTTCCTTTTCTCTCATTGGACGCTGAGTTGTCATGGCAGCCCCGTGGTTTAATATACTGATGGTGTAGTTAAACACTATTTAAAAAAAGGTTTAAAAATATATTTTACTACAGCCTGGAGCTGGTTAGTTTAGTTTAGCATAGAGACTGGAAACAGTGGGAAACAGCTAGCCTGGCTCAGTACAAAAGTAAAAAAAAGAAGTTTATCTGGAGAGTCTGACTAACGTTTCCGATAAAACAGCTCAGTCCGGCTTTATCTGTGACCATCACTTACCCCTGATCCTTGAACTTCTCCACATCATCTATCGGGTTGGTGCCACCGATCAATAAAATCTGCCTGTAAAACCCAACAGACACGCTGCATTAGGATCAAGACCAACATGGTTAACTGACACAAAACGGGAGGAGGGCGCAGTCGTTTCAGCACCAACGGACGAAAGGTTTAAAAAAAGGTCCAGTGTGCAGAATTTAGTGACATCTAGGAGCTGAAGTTGCAGATAGAAATGTAACCGCTTCGTCAACTAAAATGTGCGTCACACGTTACTTCTGACCTGGAGCCTTTTCCTCGAGATTTAACCAAATCTCAATAGCAGTGGCTACAAATCTTGAGTGTCTCTAGCAATATTAGCTCTGGACTCCAGAAGAAAACAGAGAAGGTGCAAGGACAGATTCATTTTCTTAAAGGGATCTGCAGTGAGAAATTTGCATTTTATGGGTTATTTTTGGTAAAATAATCTAGTTTTTTCTGGAGTTATCATGACATGACGACCGTGAAAGCTCCAGAAGAATGATTTTTAACTAGTGTTCAAAAAAGGTTGAGAATCAGGAAGATTCAGGTCCTCTTTGGTGACTTTGTACTTACGTAAACTGCGGGAATTTCTGAATGAACTTCTCCATCACTTCACTGATCTGAAGCGCCAGTTCTCTCGTGGGAGTGACCACCAGAGCGCCAACCTGCAGCAAACACCGTGTAAAGATCAACGCTCTCAGCCGACCACGAGATCTCAACGTAAACACAAACATCTCGTATTTTCAGTCTCATCCTCACCTGCATCTTCTTTAGCTTCTCCTCTCTCTTCAGGAGCAGTTCTATAATGGGAATAACAAAAGCAAGCGTCTTTCCGCTCCCAGTCACCTGCAATGATGGGACAGTAAGTGAGCTGCACATTATTCAAATTTGGCTTTTTGCAACATTTGCTGGTTCTAACTTCTCAAATGTCTGGATTTTAAGCTTTTATTGGTCACACATCTTTGGGTTTCGGACTGTTGGTTGAATAAAACAAGCTCATCTTCGACTGTGGGAAACTTTAAGGACATTTTTTATCCTACTATTAGACAGAAAATGTAAGTTTCAGTCCAATAAGACAATCTTTTAGAGCAGCGATGAATGAAAAGGGCTGGCAAAAAGCAAGTGTAATGCTGGAAAATGAGTTTCCACAACCTGGAAAACCAAAACTTTACCTTTCCAGAACATTTTCTAGGAGTTTTCTTCACGATACAGGACAGAACTTGCTGTTTATGGGACACTATGCGTTTTCCGATCTAGTCTGAACTGCCTACGATAATTTAGGCTAAAATACAATAAAACATTTCCCAGAACAACGCAGATTATTTCCAGGATATTTGGTCATATTAATCCATTTCCAGGTGACTAGAAAACTGGTCTCTAAATCTCCAGGTTTTGTAGATGCACACACATTACACATGAACCCTGCAGTTAACTGATAAACCTTTAAAGTATTATGCAGAATGGCTCATTTCAGAATAATGTACATTATATATGGATTTAATTAGAGATGCATTAACGTGTAATTGTTATTTTAATGTTACAGTTGGTAAAGGTGGAGCTAAAAATCTACTCAATCCCTAAAAATACATCATAATTTATAATTACTACATTAAAGTAACAAAACAAGTGAAAATGTAGTTAAATTAAACTCTTACCGCCTCAGCAGCCACATCTTTATTCCTCATGAACAGCGGGATACAAGCAGACTGGGAGGAGGAGATAATCAGAAATCAAATTAGGTGTAAACTGAAGCAGATTTAAGTGTTACAGTTACCTGTACAGTGTTAGAATCCGGCTACTTACGGTGTTACAGTTCCTGTACCAGTGTTACATTACTTGTACCAGGTGCTTACAGTTACTGCTAAGCTGTTGCATGAATGCAGTTTAAGTGTTACAGTTACCTGTACAGGTGTCATGTGTGTGAACTGGAGTTCGTCGATGGTCTGTAGAATCTTCTCGTTGAGTCTAACCGGTAAACTGAGCCACGTCCCGTCTGTGCTGTTGTCCATGTTGGATAATTAAACATTAAACTCAGTTTTATGCTACAGTCGTTAGCCACTGCTCGGCTAACCCTCCACGCTGCTCCTACTTCCGGGTGCGCTGATGTTTACAACCCGGGTGGGAACCGAAGTCACGAGTATCGTTCCGCCTACACATGGATTTTTATTTTTTTCGTTTTTTAAATGTTATTTACGGAATAACTATTTCTATATACTATACTATACTCTATATACTATATAACTACTAATATTACTCACACACATATATAATATATATAATTGTTATATTCTCAGCATTATGGTAAATGCGGAGAAACGCGCGTATTTTTACTTCCGGTTTTCAAAATAAAGGTATTAGAAGCCGTAAGCTTATAAATCAGAACTACATTCTAAGAGAAAATGTTACATCCAAGAGTGTTTCATGCGCCCCTGATGATAAAGAAACATACTTAAATACTAAAGCATTTTTACTGCACCAATGTGGAGAGAATTCAAACGAGATAAATTCCTTATTTGTACCTGTTTTCACTGTCACGGTTAATATAGAGAAAAGATGCTACCTTGTGAGGTACAAATAGGAAATTTGTACACTTGTTAAAATTTCTCCACATTGGTGGCAGTCAAAGAATGCTTTAACATCATTTTCATTTTAAATGTAGGTTGTGAATTATCAGTTTACTGTCTTAATAGCCTGTTTTCTTTCTACCCGCTCTACCATCCAATGCTCGACGAATACTAACGCACTTCAGTCGTCTCAACATCCTAAGCCCCTGAGTGCCGCCAAACCTGTATTTTAAAGTAACCCTGTAAGCATACAGTACCTGAGTAACCATGTAACTGGTTATATAGTCACTCCACAAACATTTAAACATGCGAGGCAGACCATGTGAGACAGTAATTAAGAAACCCAAATTAGACAAAAATACAAAAGACAGGTTTGATGGCAAAAAAAAGTGCGTTTATTGGGGCGTTTAGGTCTTCCCTCTGTCTATCCTTTGTAATCGCCCCCGCCCGCCATATTCTATAGAGTAACGAACAGTTAAGTTTCTAAAATGTTGAAATATGGTTCGTGTGACTTCACTCGCTAGGCTGGGGGGAGCCGTGGTCCGCGCTCTGACGCTCGGCCGCCGTGAATTGTGGATCGGCAAGCAAAATATGTATTAAGAACAACTTTAAGTATCAAATTTAAGGTCAGACAGCTACGCCGCCGAAATCATCTTCTTTCAGAGGGTCATCTCACTGTATTAATACCTTACATGTATCCAACATTACTGCCGGATGCATTAAACGTAGGCAAACATTTTAAGTTGGTGCAACCTGGCTCGAAGTTATAAGCCTAACTTCTAGCGTCACTTTATATACAAGTGAATTACTTTTCCAACAACCGCACATTAATAATATAGCCTAACATGATGCGTTTTGGAT